CTATTATCTATCTATCTACTATCTTCTATCTATTATCTATCTATCTATCTATCTATCTATCCATCTATCTATCTATCTATCTATCTATCTATCTATCTATCTATCTATCTATCACATCTATCTATCTATCTATCTATCTATCTATCTATCTATCTATCTATCTATCTATCTATCTATCTATCTATCTATCTATCTATCTATCTATCTATCTATCTATCATCTACTATCTATCTATCTATCTATCTATCTATCTATCTATCTATCTATCTATCTATCTATCTATCTATCTATCTATCTATCTATCTATCTATCTATCTATCTATCTATCTATCTATCTATCTATCTAATCTATCTATCTATCTATCTAATCTATCTATCTATCTATCTATCTATCTATCTATCTATCTATCTATCTATCTATCTATCTATCTATCTATCTATCTATCTATCTATCTATCTTCTATCTATCTATCTATCTATCTATCTATCTATCTATCTATCTATCTATCTATCTATCTATCTATCGATCTATCTATCTATCTATCTATCGATCTATCTATCTATCTAATCTATCTATCTATCTATCTATCTATGCTGTTTGTCTGTCTGTCTGTATATCTATCTGTCTGTCTATCTCTCTATCTATCTATCTATCGTATCTATCTATCTGTCTAATATCTGGCTGTCTGACGTCGTCTGTCTGTCTGTGTTTGTCTGTCTGTCGGTCTGTCTGTTCTGTCTGTCTGTCTGTCTGTCTGTCTGTCTGTCTGTCTGTCTGTCTGTCTGTCTGTCTGTCTGTCTGTCTGTCTGTCTGTCTGTCTGTGTGGGTCTGTCTATCTTTTCTATGTCTGTCTGCCTGTTTGTCTGCTTTTCTACCAACATTCCTAGATGTCTGTTCTTTGGCCTGCCTGATACTTGTGGGCTGCGCTTTTTTTTTTCTGCTTTTGTTTTTCATTCCTCTAATCTTCGCCTTCTTTCTGTACTTCTATATGTTATGATCAATATCGGAAAGTTTATTAGCTATCTGTTTATCTTCCAGTCAAAGCTGTACACCCCTTTTGAAAACAGTGGGCTACTCCTATGACCCCATTTCTTGACCTCAGGCCACACACCGCAGATACTGGATATTGTCAACCCAACAGTGGACTCCTGGGAGAATTCCAAGTGGTAAGTTCAGTGGGTGTTTTGTTAATGTTTCTCATTTGAGCCGAGTTGAGTTGATTCAAGAACCGACATCACAGCACTCGAGGCATTCCCATAAGCTCCATTATCAATGGTACCAGTTGCAGTCTGACTGTATGTCCGTCTTGCCTTTCCTCTGAGCGTCGAGTATCGGCATCACTCTCACCACACTGCCATGATCAGTTTTCTGTTCGATATTGTATACGTGCTCCACATGGAGCCCCACGTCTAACCTTATCATGCATCAATATTCCACTAAGTTGTGCACACCAGCCAGTATATCCCTCTGTTCATTTCCCAACGCACCTGAGGTCTATGTATAAGCCCTACATTAATGACAGCCTCCTTGGATGTCGGGGTATGGTGTGAAACAACCTAAACTGGCCAAGACTGCCTTACACAATTACTACCCCGATGAGGGATGCAATTTGTTAGTTATTCTGAAGCTCTACCCTGGCTTTTGCCCGGGGGCCTTAAATATGGCCTAACGGCTGAAGGGGGTTTCCGGGACCTCTCTACAGGTGATCCTCATTAGCATGGTGGCACTTTGTGTCACCTGGTGTTTATCGCTTGTGTGATGTCCTGGTGAGGTACAGCTTACCTACCTACCTACCTACCTACCTACCTACCTACCTACCTACCTACCTACCTAAGATTGCCTAATTATTCCCCTTATAGTAGCAAGAGACCCACACTTGTAACCAAGGCGCAAATATTACAAAATGGACAAAACTATCAGGTATATAATCTACAACACTAGCTACTATTTAAGGCTGGGTTGGCCTGGAAGCTAAGGTCACTTTTGAAAATAAAAAACCCGGCTTTGACGGGATCTGAACCCACGGCCTTCCGATGCGTAGGCTATTTTGAGTGTATGTGTATATACATCTACCTATGTGTGTATACAAACACGTATGCACTTATTTCTACGTTGCCATGCACAAGTGTGTGTGTGTGTGTGTGTGTGTGTGTGTAACTTTACATTATGTCTGTGTGTGTGTCTGTGTGTCTGAGTCTCTGTGTGAGAGAGTGTGTGTGTATGTGTGTGTGTGTTATGCTTTTCCAGCCCGCTCCCCAACAACCATTATCACGTAACGGTCCAAGCCACTCGTTTCGGTGCAATTAACACTTCGTAGACAACATAATTTGTTTTAAAAAAAAAACAAAAAACAGATCACAGTTATAGCCGATACTGAACGCAGTAGGTAGAACGTGGTGGATTTTTTGTTTTGTTTTCATAAATGGACGGAGTGTCTTTCCTCCGCGCGTTGAAAAGCGTCCAGACCGTCTGCTTTTTCCCCAACTGACTCAGTCTTTCGAGACAAGCATACGTTTTCTGTCCATCTGACCCCATAAAGCCTTCCACGCGTCCACTTTATCATAAAGTAGCTCACCACCTAGATGGGCGGCAGTAGCCAGTGTTTCAGCCTGCTCATTACTCTACACTCTCGAAAGTTCTCACTAATCACTAATTTTGTTCGTGCAACCTGATGGTTTGTGATAAGGCACCCACGACAGGCAATTGAAGTAAATGTAGGCTGAAGTAGGAGACTGAAGTCCTATAGGCTGGTCTTGATATTGTATGGTACGTATGTTTGTGTGTGTATGTGTGTGTGTGTTTCTTACTGTTTGGTAGCCACTGTCACGAGAGAGCTTATCGTTCTGTGCTCCAAACTGGAGGAAAACTTCTCATTATATATTCTCTATGGAAGTATAGCTCAGGCGTGGTGGAACCGTGTCTGAAGATGACCGTGTTTATGGCTGGGAATTTGTGATGCTTCTGAAATTTCCGCTCGAAGTAACCTTCACCGCTTATCTGATAAATTGAGCGTGATGAATGACGGTATATAAATTGCTAAGAGTCAAGGGAGGTTGACACGCGAAATTCATTACATCAGCCATGCATCTGTGAAGAGTCATGGTCAATTTAATGTATCGTTTTGCCTATCAACAACGTTTTGTCCAACTGACACAGATTGAGTAGTTATATAGTTCCTGCTACTTCCGCCTGTTATCATTTTCTGCAATTGTTATATCTAGCGTATGATATAACTTTACCTCGGCATTTGTTGAAGTCAATGGCAATGGCATCCGTCAGTCCCGGGGGACTATGGAGATGTGCCGCTGGCTTTGGGAACAGGATTTGCTGTGACTGTAAAGTCCGATGCGGGAATGGCAGTCTTTGCCACACAGGATACACACAAAAGCAGATACTCCCTCGTTGTGAGGCAGTTTTACTCTCCGGTGTCTCCTCTCCACAGCTCGTTGTGTTCGGTTTCTTTCAAAATGTGACAGTCCGTCTTTCACTTTCTGTCTCCATAGTAGTCGATCTGCATCTGATTTTTCCCATGTCTCTGTGCCTATGTTGGTATCTATTAGGTCACGTTTGCATACATCTTTATAGCTCAGCTTTGGCCTTCCTGTAGGTCTATTCCCAGTTACCAATTCACCATATAGGAGATCTTTTGGAATACGACCATCCTCCATGCGGGAGACATGTCCCAGCCAGCGCAGACGTCTTTGCTTCAGTATACAATACATTGATGGTATTTTTGCTCTTGTGAGCACACATTCGTTGGAGACAAGGTCTCGCCATAATATACCAAGGATGCGTCTCAGACAGAGCACATGGAAGGTATTCAGTCTTTTTTTCCTGTGGAACATAGAGAGTCCAGTACAGTAATGGGCTCAGGACACAAGACTCATAAACCTTTATTTTTGTATTATCAGTTAGCTTTTTGTTTGACCAGACTCTCTTTGTGAGATTTGCAAACATAGCAGAGGCCTTTCCTATACGTTTGTTTAGTTCTGCATCCAGAGAATGATTGCTTGAGATATGTGAGCCTAGGTACTCAAACTCATTTACAGCCAGCAGCTGATGGTCATACACACTAATGTTTGGTGGATTTCCAACATTCAATCCCATCACTTGTGTTTTGTTCAGACTGATGGTAAGCCCAAATTCTTTGCAAGCATTTGCAAAGCGATTCATCAGGATCTGCAGATCATCCTCTGAATGTACCACAATGGATGCATCATCCGCAAACAGAAAATCCCTGAGGCATCTCATGCGCACCTTCGTCCTTGCACGTAGCCTGGACAGATTAAAAAGATTGCCATCTGACCTCGAACGGAGGTATATCCCCTCAGTTGCTGTCCCAAATGCACGCCTCAATAATGCGGTAAAAAAGATGCCAAACAGCGGGGGAGCCAGAACACATCCTTGCTTTACTCAATTTCGAATCTGGAAGGGTCGAGATGATGAATCCTCATAAATTATGGTCCCCCTCATATTCTCATGAAAGGATTTGATTAGGCTCAGTAGTTTAGGTGGGCATCCATATTTTTCAAGGATCCCGAATAGACCATCTCTGCTGACATAGTCAAAGGCCTTAGTGAGATCTATGAAAGCAATGAACAGTGGCCTTTGTTGCTCTCTGCACTTTTCTTGTAGCTGCCTGATGGAGAATATCATATCAACTGTTGATCTCTTGGCCCTAAACCCACACTGTGATTCCGGGTATACTCTGTCCGCTAGAATTTGCAACCTCTTTAGGATAACACGAGCAAAGACTTTTCCCACATAATTCTATAGAAAGATACCGCGATAGTTGTTGCAGTCGCTTCTATCTCCTTTATTTTTATAGAGAGTTATAATGTTGGCATCTCTCATATCCTGTGGCACCGATTTTTCTTGCCAACACTGACAGAGGTTCTTGTGTAGCTCAGGAAGAATAGCATACTTGGAGCATTTTAGAATCTCAGGTGGGATACCATCCTCTCCTGGGGCCTTCCCAGAAGGAAGCCCAGCTTTTGCCTCACCGATTTCTGTGACAGAGGGTTCCGTGTCTAGTTCACCCATGGTTGGCAGACACTCCATTGCATTTAAGGCCTCTTCACATACAAAGGTGCTTGTAGCATATAGCTCTGAGTAGTGCTCCACCCAACGGTCCAGCTGCCTTGTCCGATCCTTTATGATTTCGCCCGTGGTTGATTTGAGAGGGGTAATCTTTCTTTTTACTGGCCCAATAGCCTTCTTGATGCCAGCATACATTTCCCTTATGTTGCCAGTAGCTGCTGAGGTTTGTATCCTCTCACAAAGTTTGATTCAGTAACCATTAGCGCAGCGCCGTGCAGTTTTCTGGGCTCTAGACCGAATGGACCTGAGCACTTGCAGATTTCTGATATTAGGCTGTATTTTATATCCCAATAAAAACTTTTTCTTCTCCTCTATTATTGGCAACATTTCTTCCTTGTGTTCCTCAAACCAGTCCAGTGATTTAACTTGCCTCTTACCGAACACGGACATGGCAGAATCATATAGGGCGTGTTTTAGATGTTTCCATCTGTCACTAGCATCCGCGTTTGGTGGGCCGGGCAGAGCTGTGCTCAGGATTTTTATAAATTCTCCTACTTTTCCAGGATTACGACTTTTTCCCGTGTCAATGCGGGGCCGTCCTGGCCTCTTTACCCGATGTATTCTGCTTGGGATTAACTTAACTTTGCTGCACACAAGGGAGTGATCTGTGTCACAATCTGCACTGTGATAGCTGCGAGTGCCCTTTACAAGATGAAGGTGACTGCGTCTAGTGAGGATGATGTCAAGCTGGTGCCAGTGCTTAGATCTGGGATGTCTCCAAGAGACCTTGTGCTGGGGCTTCAGATCAAAAAAGGTATTTGTAATGCAGAGGTTGTGAAGACAGCATAGCAGCCTCTGTCCATTTTCATTCATTTTTCCTACTCCAAAATGTCCCATACAGGATGGCCATGAGCTGTGCTCAGCGCCCACTCTTGCATTAAAGTCACCCAAAATGAATAGGGCTTCCCTGTCCGGGACTTCGCTGAGTGTGGAACTGAGTTCCTCGTAAAATTTGTCCTTTGAATCGGGAGAAGAAGGCAGGGTTGGTGCATAGGCACTTATCAGAGTGACTGATCCAGCTCTTGTCTGGACCTGAATTTTAAGGATCCTTTCTGATCCTCCTGTAGGTGGTGTGGCAGTTCCAAGCAATCGTTTCCTAATCGCAAAGCCTACGCCTTGTTCCATGGGCTCCGAAGATGGTTTTCCCTGCCAGAAGAATGTGAAGTCCTTCTCTTTGATGCTACCTGAGGAGGAGAGCCGGGTTTCCTGTAGGGCAACAATGTCTACGTTCAAACGGGACAGTTCATTGTTAATGACTGCAGTTTTCCTTAATAATTTTCGCTCATATGCTGCAGATCGTCCAGAATACCAGGTGTCATGGTCCTCACGTTCCATGTGCCCAGCTTTAGAGCTAGGAATCTGATTTTTTTGGCTTCTTTGTGTAGGTACAAGGATTACAATCCATATGTCGGGTTATCCCCTAAGCCCTGTGCACCCAACAAGGCAAACGGATCGTGGCGGGACAACACCTTACTGACTGGGGGCTGCCCAGCTGAGGCGGGCGGTAGCTGTCCAATGAGACTACGATGGTCTCTCCCACCGTCGGAAACAACCCCTGGCGCCTAGCTTTACGCCAATTGAGCAAAGGCTTATAACCGGTGACTGCTGTTTCCCGTGTTGTGTCGAAACTGTTAAGCATCGCTGGAGTGACCTCTCCAGGGCACAGGTCAGGGCGTATTGATTTGAAGTACAGACTGTTGCCCAGGCAGCAAGTACCCCCTCTCTACGTCGCCGGTGATACCAAGGGAAAGGCAAAAAACCAGTACACCTTGGCACTGAGGACATTGCAGGAATTGCCGGAAAAGCACTGTATACAATGCTAAACCGCCTCAGGGATTCCAGCTCCGGATTTTCCCTCAGGGTTTACTCCCGAAGCACTTTCCCAAACATGGGTATGACCACAAGGCAGTGGAGGTGTGTAGTCAGAGTTTACCTTCTCCTAGATGAGCTGCACTCCCGTACTGACGAGCCTCATCTACCCGAAGCTTTCCTGTGGCGCTTGATATGGCCAAAGTAGTTAAGCTTCTGAGACAAGATGCTGTTTATTAGCCAAACTTCCTGGATATTCAGATCTTTCAGGATGTCAGTATTTCTTTTCATCTTTGTTTATGGTATTCTAAGAATATTTGTTGAATTATGGTATTACTTTAGTGTGCAAGTGTCGCCGTGCAACTCATTATCATCGTCTAGTGAACGGTTCTCAACCTGTGAATCGCGACCCTTTTTGGGTCGAACGATTCTTTGACAGGGGTCACTAAAGAGCGGAAAACACATACTTAATGAAGTTATGAAGTATCATCGAAAATAAATTATTTGGGGGTGGCCACAACATGAGGAACTGTTATTAAAGGGTCGCGGCATTAAAAAGTTTGAGAGCCACTGATCTAGTGGAACGTCGCTCTCACGACGGTCTGCCTCAAAGAAACTCGGTCTCTCGTCAGGTCTCCCGCCTCATGTACTTTCATATCCAAGGAGTCATATCCTGTGCCCATCTTCGTACTGGTCGGCCCCTGCCTCTCCTTCCTGACACCATGACTTCTACCATATTTTTTTTTTTCCATTTCCAGTTTTCCGGTGGCGCTTGATATGGCCAAAGTAGTTGAGCTTCTGAGACAAGATGCTGTTTATTAGCCAAACTTCCTGGATGTTCAGATCTTTCAGAATGTCAGTATTTCTTTGTTCATGGTATTCTAAGAATATTTTTTAATAGCCTTTCAGCTCAAAAGCCCTTTTTTTTTTCTTCCTTAAGTACTGGGAGATAGTCCACGACTCACATCCGTATGTTGCTGTAGGGAAGGTGCATGCTCTCAAAATGTTGACTCTGATTTGTTTACTGGGGCTTAAGCAAAGACATTTAATCCTGTTTAATCTTTGTATTGCTATGACCATCCTTCTCTTGACGTCTGTTAAACAGTCTCCATAGCTGTTTATTATGGCGCCTAGAAATTCAGTTTGTGACATTTTCAATTTCTACATCATTTATTATCATTGCTAGGGTGACAGACAATAGAGAACTAGTTACCTGCCAAGTAAAGGAAAAGGACAATATGTTGGTAACTCACGGTAAGAGGACCGAATGGAAAGGAGAAGTACTTCATGACAATGAGCAAGTTAAAGGGATTTAGAAGCAGATGGAGGCCAAGATACAATAGGTAGACTGTTGTGGTATCATAGATTAGTACAGAGGTTTCCAAACTGTTGTGGTCCACCGCCCAGGTTTCGGCGCCCCCTCTGCTTTCCTTTCCTCTCCTTGGAAATATTATCATAATCATCATCATGAACCATGTCGACAAGCATACCTGTTTGCAATTCTATACAATCACCAGAAACGTCGGGTCCGAGCCTTAAACGGTATTTATGTATTCTTCCCCCCCCCCCCCCCAAAAAAAAAATTTTTAATTATTCTTGTCGGCTGTCAAGTTCTTAGTTTTTTTTTTTTATATATACATAAATATATATGTGTGTGTGTATGTGTGTGTATGTGTATGTATGTGTGTGTGTGTGTGTGTGTGTGTGTGTACGCATACAAATACCCTTGAACAGTGATAGCACCCCCTAGGGGGGCGATATTACCCACTTTAGAAAACACTGGATAAAAAACATCTCTATCAGAACTAAGGATCCTCCCTGGTGCTACGGATTCGTGCACTGCACTGAGATTTTTCAGAGTCAGGCTTGAGTTAGAAGTAGAGTGGAGCACTTATGGGTTACTACCCTTGTACCATGATGTTGATCCTTTGTATACACCAAACCAAACCATCTGTCAGAACTGAGCTCACGTGAAACAGAAGGCTGTGGGAAAACATGACTACTGGAACCACGAGTCATGTACAATAATACTGACAGAAGAGAAGATGACTACCATAACCACGAGTCATGTACAATAATACTGACAGAAGAGAAGATGACTACCAGAACCACGAGTCATGTACAATAATACTGACAGAAGAGAAGATGACTACCAGAACCACGAGTCATGTACAGTAATACTGACAAAAGAGAAGATGACTACCGGAACCACGAGTCATGTACAATAATACTGACAGAAGAGAAGATGACTACCGGAACCACGAGTCATGTACAGTAATACTGACAGAAGAGAAGATGACTACCAGAACCACGAGTCATGTACAGTAATACTGACAGAAGAGAAGATGACTACCAGAACCACGAGTCATGTAGAGTAATACTGACAGAAGAGAAGATGACTACCGGAACCACGAGTCATGTACAGTAATACTGACAGAAGAGAAGATGACTACCAGAACCACGAGTCATGTACAGTAATACTGACAGAAGAGAAGATGACTACCAGAACCACGAGTCATGTACAGTAATACTGACAGAAGAGAAGATGACTACCGGAACCACAAGTCATGTACAATAATACTGACAGAAGAGAAGATGACTACCAGAACCACGAGTCATGTAGAGTAATACTGACAGAAGAGAAGATGACTACCGGAACCACGAGTCATGTACAGTAATACTGACAGAAGAGAAGATGACTACCGGAACCACGAGTCATGTACAGTAATACTGACAGAAGAGAAGATGACTACTGGAACCACGAGTCATGTACAATAATACTGACAGAAGAGAAGATGACTACCGGAACCACGAGTCATGTACAGTAATACTGACAGAAGAGAAGATGACTACCAGAACCACGAGTCATGTACAGTAATACTGACAGAAGAGAAGATGACTACCGGAACCACTAGTCATGTACAGTAATACTGACAGAAGAGAAGATGACTACCGGAACCACGTGTCATGTACAATAATACTGACAGAAGAGAAGATGACTACCGGAACCACGAGTCATGTACAGTAATACTGACAGAAGAGAAGATGACTACCAGAACCACGAGTCATGTACAGTAATACTGACAGAAGAGAAGATGACTACCGGAACCACTAGTCATGTACAGTAATACTGACAGAAGAGAAGATGACTACCGGAACCACGAGTCATGTACAGTAATACTGACAAAAGAGAAGATGACTACCGGAACCACGAGTCATGTACAATAATACTGACAGAAGAGAAGATGACTACCGGAACCACGAGTCATGTACAGTAATACTGACAGAAGAGAAGATGACTACCAGAACCACGAGTCATGTACAGTAATACTGACAGAAGAGAAGA